ATGGATGTATGGATGTATGGATGTATGGATGTATGGATGTATGGATGGATGGATGGATGGATGGATGGATGGATAGATGGATGGATGGATGGATGGATCAAAAATGAAAACTGTAAATTTATATGGTTTTTTTTTCTGAATGGGACATCATAAAGAAAAATATATTTTTATTTTCCTTTTAGTCCCTCTGCACCAGTCATCCTTACCTTTGTGTCCTACTTCTCCTGTTAACCCTGGAGGTCCAGGTGGGCCAGGGTCTCCTTTTCCAATGTTACACTCCTCTAGGTCAACTAGGTAGAACACACACAAGCACACAATTTCATTAGGGCCACTTTGATGTATAATAACACCATGCCTTGTTATTTAGTGAAGCTATACTTGGTGGTCCGGGTGGCCCAGGGGGTCCAACTGGTCCTTGTTTCCCTGGTGGTCCAGGAAAAGACTGTCCTTCTATGCCCCTGTCGCCCTTCACACCCACTTCTCCCTTCTGACCTTTCTCTCCTCGAGGACCTTCAAAATGTTGACCTAAAGTACAAAAACATCTGTTGTTATTGTGCACATGGTTCCTGTTACTTTTACTTTGTTTGATGCAAAAATACATGCAAATAGTATCTGTGTTTCATGAATCGTGCTAGCATTTTATGCTACTTTACCTTTTCTACAATGTGGCATTTATTCAAACATTGTGAGATTTGTCCTCATTTATGCAGTGTGAGACTTTTTTTTTTCCAATCAAAAAAATAAGTTTTTTTTTAACCCAAAACACATTTTTCTTTTTCTTGTCTTTTCAAGGCTTCTTTCCTGATCTGTCTTTGTTCATCTTGAGCAAGTTTCACACAGACATTGATGACATTGGCATGGATTTATTTCTCAGCATTGAACCTTTATTTTAGAAGAAATGTCTTGCTGGATCAGAGTCTTTGATTTGGAACACAAGAGCAATGATGAGTAGAGGAAACTAATCCAAACTTTAGTTGTAATATTAGCTCATTTAAAAGCCCTTTACATAATGATCTGACTAAGGCGTAGAAGCAGTGTTCGTATATTCTGTTATAAGGAGAAGTTGCTTTACCTGGTGGACCAGGCTCTCCTTGAGGACCTGGAAAACCTGAAGATTTAAAGGACAACAACAAAAAAATTCAAACCATTGATATTGTTGTAAGAGATCATAAGTAAGTCTGAGCGAGATATGAGGTCAGGGTATGCCTGTTAAACTACGCAAACACTGATCATCATTTTAAAAACATCCTCTGTACCTTTTTCTCCTGATGAACCTGCGGGGCCGGGCGGGCCAGGAAAGCCAGGTGGACCACCACCCTAAAAATGATTAAAAAGATGTCCATTTGATTCAGCTGGACCACAACTACATTTCCCCTCATTTAACATCAAAAGGACAACAAAAGTAAGGATTTGTATCAATTATTGTTTACAACTTCCAAAATGTTTCACTGAGTGACACATTTCTGGTGTACAAGACAAACTTTCTGTTCCACAAACTTGAGCTTCAATCAATCTGATCATGAGAGCCTGTCAATAAAATCTAATTCCTGCTAAAGCAAGCAAGAGTATAAACTTGTGTAAACATCTAAAATATGTTCATGTCTAAAAGCAGTCTTTTGGACGCTGATTGACTCGACAGAAACAACGGTGCCCAAAATACAAAAAACACGTTCTGTAATTTGAAAGCTGTCAAAATCCCATACATGGCCTGATCAGACGTCAACTGGACTTCCCTTGTTGGTTGTTGGAGATGTTTTATGTCTCATGCAAATGTTTTGTTCAGTTGCAGCAGATTAGCAGACAGTCTTGAGCTTATGAGCTGATGGTTCACACTAAGGTTGTCACAGGCTTGTTTGGTAGAAAACAACATTTATACCACACAGTAATACACTTATGTATGAGTATGTATGTACCCTGTATATTTATTTGTACATGTTTATGTATGCTTAGATGTGTATACTGTATAGGTTAATCATGAATGTAGTACTCCCCACCACCTTGTGCATATTGTCTTTTCCAAATCTGTTTATTTCGCTACTTTAAAAAAAAATGTTTTCATGTTTTTTTTTGTTTCTCTATAATTAGAACATGCTCCTGAATGACTCAAATTTCACTCTGTCTGTCTGTGTCTGTCTGTGTCTGTCTGTGTCTGTCTGTCTGTCTGTCTGTCTGTCTGTCTGTCTGTCTGTCTGTCTGTCTGTCTGTCTGTCTGTCTGTCTGTCTGTCTGTCTATCTATCTATCTATCTATCTATCTATCTATCTATCTATCTATCTATCTATCTATCTATCTATCTATCTATCTATCTATCTATCTATCTATCTATCTATCTATCTATCTATCTATCTATCTATCTATCTATCTATCTATCTATCTATCTAATCCAGTACCTGACAGTGGCACCAGGTGAAACCGTCTGATCTGTTTCTCCTCCCACTGTGCGTAACTAAAGAAAAAGCACTTGTTTGCAGCTTTGGGCACTTCCTGCAGAAACTGTTAACTTTTTATTAGCTGTTAATTTGTCAGTTCAGTTAGAAATAAACTCTATTTGTCCAAACTGACGTTGTTCATCTACAGCAGGTAAAGTATTAACTGTTCAGAATTGTGTTGCAGAATCTAACTTAAAATAAAATCAGAAGTATCCCGTTAAATGTGTTAAACATGGTTTCTGCAAAACAAAAGACATGTGAGGAGAATTCTCATAACATGATGTGCAAACATAAAAATATTCATAAAGTGTATAGTCAGTGTGCTCTATAGGCTTAGATCAAAACTCTTTGCTGCATCTCATCCCTCTTTCTTGGCCACTTCTCATCTTCATCAATTAAAGGCCTAAAATGCCTCAGTCTCAGCACAGCAGGTGTGACTTCTGTCTCAGCTGTAAGTCCAGATTTATTGGTGTGAACACTTTAGTTTTAAGAACAGTTTGGTGCTGATTTAAAAGAAAATACATTTAGAAAAGGTTGAGAAGAAAAATAACTAGAAAGGAAGAGTACTTACATTACCAGGTGGTCCTCGGTCTCCTTTTACTCCCTGCAACAACAAAAAGGAACTGAGTCGATCAGAAATTCATTTCACCAAAAATAACTTTTGTGTTCAAATGTAGCTGCACAAGTTACCGTTGAACCGGGGAATCCAGGAGCTCCTGCAAAGCCTTTCTCCCCCTGCATGATAAAATGTTGATCAGTGACAAAGAAACACAAGCTGGACAGCATTGGAGATGGACGTTAAAATAAATTATTGTTACCTTCAGCCCATTATCTCCATCTTTTCCAGGTTTACCCTAACATCCCACACAGGTAGAAACACATGAAACAAAAAGTAACAACCGTTTGTAAAGCAAATGCTTGTTTTTATTTATTTTCCAATAATGCATATTACAATATAGTTGGTCAACCTTCCTAAATGATGTTTATATATTCAAATATTTTTCAATTAATTTAATGGTTTTTATTAAATTTTTGCAACTTACACGTGGTCCCGGTGGCCCAGGTTCACCTTTGACCCCAAGCTGATAAGGCAGGCAAAATCCCTGCAAAAGAAATCACATCTTTTAAAGACAAACAAACAAAAATACATAAATAATAGCAGCCAGTCCATGTTTAATTCATCTGTTACATCTCAAAATATCAGAAGAAAAATTACTAACTTTGTCTCCTCTTTCTCCTTTAACTCCTGGGAACCCCTTTAGGAATAATCATTTAAAAAGGCACATTTAGAACACAGCACATAATCCAAATCATCTTGTTCCTTTAGATTTAACAAATGAGCATTTTATTAATAATGTGTTGTTTTATTGAGTACCGGTGGTCCAGGTATGAACACCGTGGTCGTTCCTCCCACTTCCTCAGGACGTCCAGGGGGACCAGGAGGACCTCTGAGTCCTGGATCTCCCTGTGTGACGTCAGAGAACATTTAAAAACACATAAAAAAAATACTTTAATATTTTCGTATACACCGCCAAACACTTCCATTATGTTTTGCTTTTGTTTGATACGTTTTTATAAAATAGCAGCAGGTCGGCTACAAGCTGTACACCGAATTATTGATAAAAAATAAGAATAGAAACAGGTTTTCTAACAAATTTTTACATTAACTCCTCATATTACAAATTTGAAATAATTGGTGTTTTACTCAAATGAAGAGGCATTAAACTGTTGATGGTGTGTTTATGGACTGGTGTGAATCATTTTGGGATTTAGTTTATACCGACTAGATTTTTTGATATCTGAACAATGCTTTAATTTTTATGCATAAATCCACCAGCACCAAAGTTTCATGAATAACTAGTTTCTTTAAAGATACATGAAATGATCAGAGAGCTTGAAGGGAGGTGATCGTGATGTAAAGACACTTTCAAATGTTTCCCAGTGATGATGGATTGTAGCAGGTTCTTAACAGCAGCCTTCATCTGCAAACACACTGTGCATTTATTGACTCTGTGAATTTAGAACAGCTAGAAAAAAAAAACAAGTTGACAAAAGTGTATGGGTGCAAATGATTAAAATGCACCTAGATGCAAAGTATTGCATTTTTGCAACATTTTCACTCTTGACTGTCGGAGTTATCAATCTCAGCACAAAGAGTTATGAGAAAATTGCAAAAAAAATAAATAAATCTAGCAGATAATAAGAAGTAATGGTCAAATTAATCTGTCTGTACTAGTATTTTACATTTTTACTCATGTAAACGTATGAAAAAAACAATCACCTTTTCTCCTTTTTCACCCACAAAAGACAAGCGGTCTCCCTGCAGAAAAGTAAAAACAACGCTTCGAGTAAATCTTTGCCACGTCACCAAGTCAGGGAGTGAAAAATCTTCAGTGTTCGTGTGATTGATCTTACTTTTTCTCCTGGAGGGCCGGGGGGTCCGGCGTCACCCTGTCAGTCATTAAATCAAACAGTGAGACGCAGAAAAAGTCATAAAAATGTTGATAAAAATAGTTAATATTTAATAACCTAAAGCAATTTTTATATCATTAGATGCATGAGCTCCTTCCACAGTTTTCATCTAAGATGAAGCTCATTGTTGGGGGAGTAACTCACTTTAAGTCCCTGATACCCTCGAGGTCCTGGTGGTCCAGTAGGTCCGTTAAGACCAGGTGATCCCTGGAAGAGAAAAGCTTGTGTGGAAAACCTTTCCTCATACGTACACCTTCATGTCATGAACACAGACGCTTCAATACGTACAGGTAATCCAGGTGTGCCAGGAAATCCTTGTTCTCCTTTCAAAGGAACAATCCCAATCACACCACCAGGGTCTCCCTGCAGGAAACCAAACGTGTCACTTACAGACTGATGAACAGCCTGCGCGCAGTAAAGACATTAAAGCTTCATGAAACGTTGCTTACCTTCATTCCAGGAGATCCCGGGATGCCCTGAGAAGAACAAAAGAAAGATGTGCGTATTGTTTTCATCAAGCTGGTTGAGACTCGTCAAAGGTTTAACAGTACGAATAAAAACGAGGACGTTTTAACGTTTTATACAGTTCAGTGAAGTGAATGGGATTCAACTGAGTGATGGCTGCAGGTGCTTACAGGAGGGCCTTGAAGTCCAGGAAAACCAGAAGAACCATCACGTCCTCTATCCCCCTGAAAACACACACGGCACACTGTCAGAACTGTGTGTCATACATGTGTCAACACGTGCGTGACAGGAGAGCAGAAGATCCAGGTGGACAAAACATGGCTGTAAAAGAAGAAGTTGCTTACTTTTGTCCCATTGCATCCTGGGATACCAGGCGAACCAGGTGGACCATCGTTTCCATTGATGCCCTATTTGAAGCAGTAAAAATACCACAGACACCATCTAAGTTACAACATGAGGTCAAAAAACAGCATTGTCCCTATATTGGTTATTTTACTGACATCATCGATCAATGCATTGGGGTGAGATTATTGATCGTGCAGGATGTGAGACATAAAGGCAGGTTAAAAAACTTACGGGTAGTCCTGGGTTTCCTGGCATGCCTGGCAGACCAGGAGGGCCCTGCAAAAACACAAAACCATTTAATTTACTCTCAGTAGAAAAACCAGTTCTACAGCAAAGTAAGATCTAAAAATCTGTGTCATATAAGTTTATTTCATAACTGCCTTAAAATACTGATGCTTAGTTACTTACTCGCACTCCTTTCAGCCCAGGAGCTCCATGTGCACCAAAATCTCCCTGTCCAACAAATATTAGAACAATTTACAGATCATTCAGAAGTTTTTCTGGACAGCTCAAATTTGCATAAAGATTCAGCCAAAGTTTATTACTCTTTATAAAAGTTTCTTGTTTAAATTGTTCATTTTTAAAGGCAACAGTGCAGCTAACAACCAATAAAGTTTATATAAGGTTTTGAGATGTATATATTATAAAAAGTGACTGTTTAGTCTTTTTTTAAAGCTAAATTACTAAAATGTGCAGGTTAAAGCTTAGCTTGCTCAAGAAATAGATGTTTATTTACTATTTTTTTTTTTATCAAATCCAGTTTTAGAGTTTTAAGAGATCCATTTCATGACAAGATTTGAAATGTTACAGTATTTTCAGGTTTTTTCATCATAAAGAACTGCTAGTTTTAGCACTAAAGGCCAAGACTGAACATGTGCACTAACCTTGGGGCCCATTGGCCCTGGTGGCCCCTCGTGTCCCTGCATCCCTGGGAATCCCATGTTACCTTGAAGACCAGGAAATCCACGCTCACCCTGCAACACACAGATTGACGTATTTGAAAAGGAGATTAAAAAATTGCTGAATTGTATTTTTAAAAACATGTTTGGATCATTATGCATGTTGATCCACTACGTAAGAAACAGGTTTAATATTATACTCGATTGGTCCGATGTTGTTTTTTTTTTTGTTTTTTTACTGTTGAAATATTTTTTAAAGTAAATTTAGTTTTGTTTCATGATGCTGTGTCCCAAAATGACCGAGGTGCATACTCAGAGTTACCACTAGATGGCAGCATTTCTCTCTGATTGAGAATTATTGAAACAAAACAAGAGAAACTCATTTTCCACATTGAACCTATTGCTTTTAGATGGATTTCCCCAACACCTGGATCACATCAGTCAAGACAAAGCTTCGGATGTGAAACATTGGGAATCACTACGTGGTTGCCATGACAACGTGTGTTGCTCAACAATAGGAAGTTATGGTTTCACTGGAACAAATGGATCACAGGAGGCTGTCAGAGGCCTTTCAGCAACTCTAAAACACAGAGGAGCTTCAAATTCACAGCGACTGGGTGGACGCCACTGAACAACAGCTTAGTGCAAAGTGCTATAGCAAACGTGCATGATGTTTATTCACTGTTGTTTGAACAATGCTAATAAAATGTCTGATTACGTTGAGTTCATTTACTGTCAAACACCAGGAGTTCAAGTACAAAGTAACTTTTTAAAAACTTCAATCATTACAATTAGCCAAACTTTCATTTTTAAGCACCTTAAAGATAATAAATAAAGTCAGTAAACATATTATTCAAAGAAATGTAAAAGTAAAATCATAAAAATCCTGTACATTCTATTCTAATAGAAGCAGACATATATCCAATAAGGTAAAACATTGTCATTGAAAGCAAATGATGTTTTCTTTGCTCACTTAAAGCTATGGGGTAAAAACATATAATTAAAACAGAACTCCCTGCGTTCACAATGCTAATATCATGTTTTATGTTTCCGGTCAGTGATTAAGTTTAATGTGTGAGTGCTGACAGCTCTGGGCTCGCAGCCAGTTTGTGTCCACTTGTATAGCTGCAAACCCCAGACTCCATCCAACTGATAGGATTAAGGCCTTTAACCCGACTGCGTGTGCCATCATGCTCTAAGGGAAATAGATCACGTCCAGGTTTCTGACCAAAAGATTGACCAAGTCACCTCCTACTTCCACCATGTTAAAGTCCATGCTAATGAGCTTATCCCCCATTGGAGTCCAAACTCTGGGATGTTTTCTCATATCTTGCTGTTGACAAAAAAAATACCACTTCCAAGTACCAAAAATAAAATAAAATAAAAAAAAGGAGAAATAATAGATCAAGACTGAAAGGCACCCAACTTTAATACCAAACTTGAAAATCTCACCTTCGCTCCTTTGACACCGCTGCAGTCGCATTTTCCACATGACGTTCCACAACCCTGAAGATGAAGAGAAACATAAAAATAAATAGTCCACCTCTCCTGAGAGATACAAACATAAACACACTAGTGTGTATGAAAGCTTTCTGTGGTCACTTAGGGGTACTTAGACCGTCTGAGCACTCATATTTGTCTTTTCTGTGTTGGTAAGTAACATTTGCTTAAAAATATAAACCCATCAAACAATATCAATCATTTATATTCCCTGCTGTTAAATATAATAGAGTATCTGTGTGTTGATGTGTTTATTTGTATGCCTGTTAGCCAAATATCTTATAAACCACATGTCCACCTGCTTTGAGATGACCACTTCAGCTGATTGACCTACAACTCGGGTAATTTTACAGATATTGAGCTGAAACTTGGAGCGGTAGTAGATGAGAGTCATTCCCAACACAGGGCATGAAACGTTTGATGTTTAAAACTTTGATATCTAAGGCAGCGGTTGATGTGCATTCCTTTAGTGAATGCGCCGGTCACATATTGTTTACCAGTGTTTCCACAGCTTCAGTGGATGTCGTTATCACCAGCATACATCTGTAAACATGTTTATTTCAAGCCACAGCCTGGGATCACCTATTTGTGGAACGTCTTGCAGCCAGTCGGACATTAGTGCATTACTTCAGCTGGTCTTGGCCCTCCACCCCCCTGAATCCCACCCTGCTTTTTTCCTCTGGGGCCTCCAGAGGCTGAGCCTGGGAACTGGCTCTCGCACCGTCTTGGCTTTGTCTTACGGTGCTCCCACTTCCAGCTGTTGCTAGACTCACGTGTAAGGCCTCCAGCCAAAATGCTGTCAGAGCCTGGACTGGGTCTGAATGCTTGGGAAGACGGTACACAGCTAAACGAACCACACATGGTTCTGCCTTCCTGACACACACAAAACTAATAAATACTTCTGTTAATAATGATCCCCTTTTAATTTTATAACCATGACATTCACCAAGTTTTATCCAGCCTACTAATTGCAGGGTCTCACCATCTGCCTTTTTACAACCAAACATACCTGATAATTAAATCGACATGTGGCAGCCATGACAGCGTTCCCAAGACTTTTAGCAGCCGACCCTCCGTGCACTTGCTCTTTTGATTTTATTGCACTTGTACGGCCTGCTACAGTTCCAGCACTTGAAAACACCTCACTCGGTCAGTCTCGCTTCAACACGTCCAGCTAATATTTGTTTCTTCTCTGCCGTGCCACAAGAACGTTTAAAGAAACACCTGCTTCAGAACAAATTAGTGACATGAGAGAAATGGAGGAAACGAACGTGGACTCGGTGAAAACAGCCCATGTGGGTTTTATTAATTTGATTCCTGACACAGAAATATGGCTCCTGGTGCTGGATTAGGCGGGATCTTTTTGGCAGTTCACCAAAGGACGGCATGCTAATTCAATGGGAAAGGCATGTTCTGCTGATGTGGATCACAGCTGTTTTAAGGATAATAAATCCCCTCATCTGCCTGTTGATTTCTGTCTGCCTCATAATTGCAAAGCGTACAGATTTTGTTTCTTTGTCGTTTATTACATTCACAACGGAGCTCGGCAGACGTTACTGCATGTTAGAGGGTGTGACCGAGACACACGAGGCTCATGAAAACTCCACCCAGATGTCTGCTGGATCTCCAAACACACTGCAGTAATCTGCAGGTAGATAAAAAAAAAGGCATATCTTTGACTTTCCCGTCTGTTTTTCTCCTTTATCTTTTACTCGTCATAAACCCAAACACCAGCTGGGATGGATGCCTCAAAGTCTCACATGACACCCGCACGAAAGATTTGTCTTAACGACTCATGAAACCAAACATTAGATCTGTATTGTTATCTGAGCCAGATGTTTAAAGAGGATTTTCAAAAGATTTTATCTTACAAAGTACAATTCTTTTGGTAAATGAGATTTTAGATGAGATAGATAGGGTACCAGAAGGCAGGGACTGTCTGAGCATGTAGGCCATTTATACATTGCACAGATAAAACACAAGCGCACATATAGGGTGTCGTTTGTAAAGTTACACAGTCAAAAATTAACAGAAATATGTTGCTTTATTTAACCTTTCATAAGAAAAAATATATATAT